AAAGATGGATTCGAATTAAATCTTAAGTATTTACACGAGAGCCAGGCCTGGTGCCACAGGCTTCTGACGCTAGCACTTGGGAGGCTGAGGCGGGAGCATCAAGGGTTCAAGGACAGCCTAGCCTACCGAAAGAGCGCACGGTCAGCCTAGATAACTTAGGGAGGCCCCGTCTCAAAATCTAAAGGAAAGAAAATCTAAATAGAAGGCTGGGACCCCCTCAAGGGCAACCTCTCTATTATTTGTCTCCCCCCAGGATCCTATAACACCTGGCACATGAACACTCAACGTCTTTTCCAAGTGAAGAAAGATTGAATAAGCGAGCCCCAAGGAAAGCTGATCCAACACTCCTGGCTTGCCTTTGGGAAACTAGGCTTTTGTAAAACCAGCTTTGTCTGGTGGCAACCAAAGCAGCTTTAGATCTGACTGCACACCAGAGAAAGGTCCCACACACACTGGATGGGTGGAAACTGGAGCCCCGGACTCCGGTTGCAGCCACTTCTGCGTGTATTGTTTCTGAAGATGACGGTAACACAACGGCCCCTCCGTGCCTTGCTGCCTCTGCTGGAAAACAACTCCAATTTTATGCAAAATATACTGTGTTCTGTTGAGGCTGGTGGTTTTCATCTGGCAGTCTGCTCAGTTTGCAGGAGAGAGTACGTGTAAAACTCAGGTGGATAATGTACTCTACCAGCTGTCAAATACTGCCAGAGTCTGCCAGCCATGCCCTCCCAGAGTCAGTCCCTCCTTCAGTCCATAAATACTCATATCCCTGGAAAATCCAGCACGCTCCATGTTCGTCCTCACACTATTTCTCTGTGAGCCAGGCTGCTGCTCCAAACGCGTTCGCTTTCCTCCGTCTCTCTGGCCCCTTCCATAGCAGATGCCATTATCCTGGGCTTAATTCTCAGACATCAACTTCTCTAGACCCATCACCCGCCGCTACCCGTTACAGCAGAGAGCTGTGGAAGCCAAGAAGGAAAACTGGCCAGGTGGGGTCCCTTGAGTCCCCCATATTGGGAGGGCGGAACCTCAGCGTCCCGGCAGGTATATACAGTAGGGAGGAGGAGGGCTCTGACCCACAAGTTCAGGTGTGCCAGGGTTCCTGACGACTTACCCGGGCATGAGGGCGGGTGGCACGAAGGTGGCATTGAATTCGGTCATTAACGTGCCCGCGCTACGGGAGGCCATGGTGGGATGCTGCGAGCCCCGGCGCTGTGGCTCGGCTCAACTCTGTGGTAAACAGCCAGCTGGTCACCCGGCAACCACATGCCTGGCAACCCGAGTTCGTTCTGGGACAGTGATTCCTCTTTGCTGTGTGCTAGTTCGCCTCTCTCGCAGGCCTGAGAAGATGACCGCCCCTCCCTCCACAGGTTTACTGTGTGGCTCGCCCAAGTCTCCCTGACATCCAGCCTAGGTGTTCACATCTACCGCGCTCACATAAGGTGCGGAAGTGAAAAGGCTAGATTGCTCCTGAAGAGATCCTCACTGATCCAGTTTGGACCGCTACGACGCCCAGGGCTCCCTCCATCTTTGCAGCTTCAGGAAGTGCTCCATGAAGGGCCACACTTGGTGCATGGTTTCCCAGCCCTGTCTTTTCAGTCATTCATTTTTCATTACACTCTCCCCTCTCCCTTTGGACTTCCTTTCCCCACGCTCCTCAGGAGGCGGGGCTGCATTTGATGATTTGTTCCTGTAATCCCATCTTCAGAGGCTGAGGCAGGAGGATTGCTAGTCCGAGCGCGTAGCCTGGGTAACTTAGTGAGACACTGCCAAGAGCGGAGGAAGGGCAGAAGGAGGGAGGGAGGGAGTTTGAGTTTAGACTATCCCCCACAAGCTACTTTGAGCCTAGAATCTTATAGGAGATGGTCCCTGTCTGGAGTGAGTGGGTTGCCTAGGGGCCACCCTTGGAAAGCTGTGCCTTGGCCCCTAGTTCTGGCCACACTCTGTTTTCTAATCACTGAGATATGAACCGAGCTGTTCTTCCGTGTCTCCCCCCTACGCTAGATTGAAACTGTTGTCTAAAATAAAGTCTGGCTCTGTTGAGCGGTTTTAACCCATTATTTTGTCAGGGTGATACGGAAGTAAAAAATGAAATGTGTGGTTTAGATTTGACTCAACTACCACAGTTGGTTCTGCGCAGGAATCTTCAGGGTTGGGTTTCCCTCCAGCCATCAAAACCCTAGAGTCCACACTTTGCTGTACATAAGCCATCTCCCTCGATGAGATTTTTCCATAGGCAAACCTAGGTCCCATCAAGTAGTCAGCGTTAACCATCCCAAAGTCATCTCCTTTATGGGACTGGGAGAAGTGTCACCTGCACAGCTGGACTCTGCAAATGGCAGCTGGTGAAGACACAAACACTAGTGAACTCACAGGATGCCACTGTAATCAGGATGCTCCCAAGATTCCCTCTAACAGATGCCAACACGTCTGGGAAGGTGGGGAGCCACATGCTCGCAAACGGCACACGCACAAAATAAAACCCAGAACAACTGAAACCTGGTGTGCAAAGAAACCACGAGTGGGGGTGGTTGCCAAATCAGCGGAGGAAATGCCAGCGGGTTATAGCTACAGTCTCCCATGAGGGGGGGCATGAGATGCACTAAGGAAAACATGAGGCAACGTTGGTTTTGTTTTTCTGTTTTTCGATTTGCAGGCCAGGTTGGCCTCAAACTCACAGAGATCCGCCTGCCTCTGCCTCCCAAGTGCTGGGATTAAAGGAGTGCGCCATGACTGCCCAGCCAGTTGCTTTTGAAAGGCCCCTGTATCTCTGATGTGACTTCCCGATGACCCCAGCTCTACAAGGTGACACACTCACGTCCTCCCCATCCATGCTTCCCAGTTGGCCCAGCTCATGGACACATCATCCTCCCACGCTGCTCTGGGTCAACAAGTCCTCTGTTCTTTTCTGCATGGACTCTGACTCTGTATCTGGGGCAGCTTTTGGAATGGTCAGCTGATGGAGACATGATATGCTCGCTGGAATTGCTGTCATCTTGCAGAAGGGAAAACTGAGGTTTGGTGGTGGTTCCTAGAGCTGCTTTGTAAGATTTTCCCTCAGCACACACAGGGCTGCAAAGGGCTCTGTAATATTCACCCTTTACAATCAAATACAACCAGGGGACCCTCCTCAGGAAAGGGGGTCTGCTAAGTACCACTGAGCCTTACAAACGAAGGTGAATCTGTGTAATTTTAAAGGGACATTAAAGTTGGTCTTTAGAATTTGTAGATATGGGCTTGCATTCAATATATGCATTTTCTAAGAATTTTCTAACTCCGTGTAATTAAACATGTGTGGAAAAGGTGAGCAGAAATTGGGAGGAAGGAAGAGGAAATAAACTCACAGAAAAATAAGGTCAGGAGCAATAACAATTAGAAGACAGGAAAGGCTCTTGGGCGTCTCCACTGAGGGATGGAGGGGTACCTTTGCTTCCGCACTTCTCTCCTTAAACTTCCAAACCCTTTTATTATGTTTATCATCTAGCATCTGTGTGGAGAGGGCACAAGGTCTCTGTGCATGTGTATGGGGTGTGTGTGCTGCAGTTCACAACCAGAAGCCGGAAGACCATTTGATCCTCCCCCACCATGTGGGTCCCAGGGATCAAACTCAGGTCATCAGGTGAGGCAGCAGAGCCCTCACCTGCCGAGCCGCTCCGCCAGCCCAAAACCTGTAGACTTTTTGACAGGCCCCTGGGCGTCCAAGCCCCGTTCGTATTAATTAGATATCTGACTATTGCAGGATACCCTGTGACCTTCTCAGGTACAACGATCTCTCTGGGGTCAGCAGGGGAGATGCCAGGGCAGCAAGAGACACCAGCAGAAGGAGTCACACAAAGGGGGCCCCAAGTCCCTCTGAGTGCAGGTGTGAGTTTGTCCTCCCTTCACTGGAAACCACCCATCAGCTGACCCGCCTCCAGGTCTTTGTCCCCAGCCTGGGATGGGGAGTCCTGTGTCCTGAGTTCCACACACTGCCCTACACAGAAGCCACCCCTGTGGCCTCCCAGGAGGGTATCTCCAGTGATGATCCTCATTTTCAGGACCAGCTGCCTAAAATTCAAACACATGATCCCAGGGCAGAGTACAAACAGTGCAGGGCCAGATGGTCAGTACATTGGTACTTCTAGTGCTTGCATTCATAGGGACCTGCCCTTGGGTGCATCCTCTAAGTTGCCTTAGAAGCTGCTTTCTAGTATCTAGTGTGTGTGTGTGTGTGTGTGTGTGTGTGTGTGCCCAGACTCTAGATAAGTGTGGTGTGAGTGTGTCCAGACTCTACGTGAGTGTGTGTGTGTGGTCTCTCCAGACTCTAGGTGAGAGTGTGTGTGTCTAGACTATAGGTATGTGTGTGTGTGTGTAGCACATATGCATCTGTGTACATATGCATGTGCTTGTGTTTATGTATGGAAGCCTGAGGTCAACCTCCACTGTCTTCCTTAGCCACGCTTTACCTTATTTACCTAAATATAGGTCTCTTTACTGAAGCTGGAGCCTATCCATTCACATAAGGCTGGGTGACCACTGAACTCCAGGTGTTCTCCTGTCACCACCCTTCCCTCTCCCCAGACCTGGGTTAGGAGCCCATGCCACTGCCCCTGTCTCTAAGACAATGCTAGAGCCCAAACTCAGGTCCTCGTGTTCTTGTGGCAGATACTCTGCCAACTGAGCATCTCCCTTGCCCCTGGTGAGGCTTTCTAAGAGACACAGCACGATCTGTCCAGAGCTGCCAGGCCTGTCCTGTCCCTGTTCCTCAAGCCTGCCATGCATCCACAACAGTCATGATTAGCTAGACAGAACAGGGCTACCATGGATAACCCCCAAGACACCAATGCTTCAGTCCCAGCTCAGATCATGAAGTTCCCGGTCCCTCTGAGGAGAGGTGACCTGACCCCACACCCACCCCATCCTCGTGACTACTGCAGTCTGTTGGCTCTGAGTGGCATAGAGCTTCCATCCTCCAAGCGGCAGGAACTTCTATTCAAGGAGCTGAGAGAAGACACCTGAAGCTGGACAGAGCTTTATCTAGGGGCTGGTGCTGCTGAATAATGAATTCAGCATGCATTCCCGAGCTACTGGCTGGGTGTGCAACACACAAACACACACACACACACACACACTACACACATGCTGGGCTGACAACTCAGAGGGGCGGGGCTGCCAGGGCTGCACGGTTCTGCGGAGCTGAAGGAGCAGCTCGCTTTGGTTGCCTTGGTCTCTGTGGGCAGCATCGGAAGGAGGCGGCAGCAGCCAGAGAAGAGGGAGGTGTGTGAGCCGCACTCAACCAGCCAGCTTCTTCCTGCTGCTCTGCCTGGCACTACCCAGGCTCTTCCCACCAGCATGGCCCTGATCGTCCACCTCAAGACCGTCTCGGAGCTGCGAGGCAGAAGTGACCGGATCGCCAAAGTAACTTTCCGAGGTAGGGAAGCACCTGTCTCAGGGGGACACCAGTTCTGCAAACTGACTCAACCCATATTTCTGTGAGCCGACAGAGACGGGAGAGGGTTAGGAGGAGGGACGGCAGAGTTCTAGCAGGCATAGTGGCTGTAAGGCTTTCTAAGAGTGTCCACATGCCCCTGGCCTGGCTAGCTTTGAGGTTTCCTGGAATTGCCCCAGGCCAGCACACACTGCCCTGGCGGAGTGCAGATTCTTGGCTGGATGAGGCAGAAGTGAGGGATCCATCCCCAGGACCACACAGATGCAGGGCAAGGGCTCCATCACAACCTTCCTGGGACCCCTTTCTTCCCTCCACCTGCAGACTGTTTCTGCCTGCTGACTAGGAGTCTATGCCCGAAAAGACCAGAGTGGCTGGTAGAAACTAGCCCGTGGTACTCTGCCCTCCGGTGGGATGACAGTACTTTGGCCTTTCGCAGACCTTTGGCATCCTTAGGCAGGGGCATTACTCCAGCCTCTCCTCTGTGTCTCCACTGTGGACTCCTCCCAGACTCTTGCAGCTCACGGATTATGGCCTCCTGTGCACCAAATCTGGGGTCTAAAAATGTGAAGCTGAGCATGAGGCTGGCCCAGGTCTAAAGAGTTAATCTGGTGGGCCATGGGAAACAGCAGCAGGCATGGCAAGTGTATGATGCAGACAGGTTGGGGACGAGAGTGCCATGACCAAGGCTGGGAGCTAGCAGTTGGGGAGGGCTTCCAGGAGGAGGCACTGCTCAAGGGCTGAGGGACGAGCAGAGGCAGCAGGCAAAGGGAATGAGAGGTAAAGGGGATAGTACGCCCCAAGACCGGGAGCAGAGCTGGAGAAGGACCAGACAGAGGCTCCGTGAGCCAGGGAGCTGAAGCTGGGCTTCATCTCAGGTATCTGGCAGCCCCCCCCCCAGGAGCCACGTGGAGAAGGACAGGGCCAGGCTTTCCCCACTAGCGTGGCCCTGATGGTGCCAAGCCACCTCTGCAAAATACAGTTCAACCTGCCTAGCCACAGTAAAAGCCTCCGGTCCAGGGGTGTCTCTGCAGCCTTTGGCCAAAGCCAATGTGCTCTCCAGGGTGGCATCTTCTCCCCCCGGGGGGGTCAAAGGGAGGAACTATGGCTCAGGATGCCGCCACCTCTACAGGTCTGCCAGGAAGGAGATGTGAGACATGGCGAGTCACTAGACGTGCCAGGAGGAGCTTCCAGACTCCTCCATCACCCACACAGGCCATGGGCTCTCCACCTGCAGCCTGCTGGTCACAGGCACCAGTTCCAGCTTTGTCTGCTGGCAGCAGGCAGGCAGAAGGGACCAGAGAGTGGGCTGGGCCACCTACTGCTTTGCAGGCCACCCTAGTGGCTGAGCTCTCCATGTGTCACCTGCTGGCTTATGCTGACTTTAGAAAAACAAATATATCCTTTAGTCTATGGGACCTGGCCTGTGCGCCACACAGAGTCCTGTGCTTGGCTTCTTAGTCCTAGGTGGCTTGGTGGCTACAGTTGTGACAGGCCAGTCTCCTTCGTGGAAAAAAAACAGGGTCTAGTGAGATGGTCAGGGGATAGGGACAGTGGTCCAATTGTGAGGTCTTCATCCTGTCTACTCAACTTTGTAATCTCTTACCTCTTCTGGGGCCCAAGGACTGGGCTTCCTGTCCATCAGAGACTTGTTGTTTTTTGTCCAGGGGACAGTGTTAGGGACCTGAACCCAGGGCTTCCTACATGCAACATATGCTCTCAACTGCTGAACCACACACCACCCTGTTTCCTATGAACTCGCTCTATAGCCCAGGCAGGCCTTGAACGTACACTTTGCTGCCTCAGCCGCCCCACCAGGCCTAGCTTCCACCTCTCCCTTTGAGCTGCAAGGTCAAACACCCCCAGGAATGAGGCTGCTTGTAGCCCAGGCCTCCCCATTTGCAGGCAGTCAGAGGTAGAGTTCCTGCAGCAAGGGGTGAGGGGTGGGTGGTAGGACCCTGGAAGAATACAGTCAGAGCTCAAGACAGTCGTGAGGTGCACAGCAGGTGGCAGCTACGGGCACCCAGAACACCAGCCTACACTGAGGGACTAGACCAGCCCATCCTCTCCTGACATTCAATGTCCAGGCACACTGTGTGTGAGTAGCCGCAGGGGCTTACTGACCCCCAACCTCCACAAACCTCTCAGATAAAGCGGGTGGCAGAAGGGAAGAGGGGCCAGCATGGGGCCTAAGGGTAAGGAGAGAAAGGCCCTGCCCTGAGGAGTGGCAGGGAAACAGGGGGGTATGGACTTCACCCTGCCTCTCCCACCATGGCTGCCCTGGGCCTCCCAGTAGCAAATAGGACACAGCAGCCCAGGCTGGGCTAAGAGGCCTCCAGCCTGCAGGAGCCATCTCCAGAGTAGGTCGGCCGGACGATGCTTGTCGGCTTCCTGTTTCTCTGCTCTTACTTCAGCTCGAGTAATCTCCAGAGCTATGGAAGGTAGGGTGGGAACTGTCTGTCTGTCTACTTTCTGCCTTGTGCTCAGCCCCTTCAATCCCCTGCCCCCCACTGCCAAGATCCCCATGGTAGGCCACCATCTCTAATCTACAGAGCCTTCTTGCCAAAACACAAGGTTGAGAATTTTCCCGACTTGCACATGCTCACCTGGACTGCTTGCTGGTATCGAGATTCCCACGGGGGTTCATCTTTACACCCCTCTCCACACCCCCAACTCCATCCTACTACATTGAATGCCCAGCTGGTCCCCAAAATGCCAAGGGCTTCACGCCTTCCTGCATGAGACTGCAACTTCTTTATTGTAGAATGACCCCCCATACCTTCCATCTTACAAATGTCCATCTCATACATACTTCAAGGCCAGGTTAACATGTCTCCTCTTCCAAGAAGTCCTCCCCTCCCTTCCACACCCTGTACACCCTCCTGTAGCTCTGCCACAGTTCTGTGGGCACAGGTCACACTCTGTGAGCTGTCCTGGGGACCCTCGAGTCTCCCCTGAATTATTAACATCCACCATAAGAAATGACTTCTTTCCTTGAAGACGTCACTAGTTTGTTTTTTGTGTGTTGCTGTTCTGAGACAGGCTGGCCTTGAACTCACTATCTGAACAGGACAGAATTGCACACATGCAGCACCACGTACCACACTTTTCACTGTTTAGTGGGTTTAAACTATTCACGGTGGCCCTGTCAGTGCCTGACTCTGCTGGGCTCTGAATGTCACCAGCATTTTATGCTACAGGGAACACCAGACTGAAAAGGAGTCTCGTGACCCAAGACCCCTGGCTCCCCTTCCTTCCATCGGCCTCTAGCTCAGAGAACACTCAGGGTTCCAGAGGAAGGCTGACTTCATCCTCCAGCAAATGTTGGGGGTGATCCAGCCCAGGAACCATGTCACTCAGATCCGCAGCAGTCAAGGAGTACTTCCTGTAAGGGGAGGCAAGGTTGGGTGGGAAAAGCAGCTCCTAGCTGGGTCTTGCATTGCATTTCTGTAAGAGCTGAGGATGGGCTGTTGGAGGCAAAGCCACTCTATATGGAGGGCTCGCTGCACCAGACAGCGGAGTGGACTCCCGGCCAGAACAAGAACTGGGAAGCCAGCCCTGTGACTAGAGGCAGGGGAACGGAGGAGGTGACTGTGCCCTGAGAACAAGATTGCCCCTCCACTCCCCCTCCACTTGTTTCTGGAAAATTCTCTGCCATTCCCAGTAAGGGAGGCAGACTATCCCATCCTCAGTATTTCCCCTGGATGGCTAGGCCATTCAGACACCTGTCCTCTTTCTGTGGGCAGCAGACAGAGGGGCTCCCCAGGGACAGCAGCTGAAGCCCAAGGCAGGTATGGGCACAAATCTGCACCTTGATATGGACACAGAATTGTGCCCACAGCACCCTGCCACTTTCCCAATGCACAAGGACTCCTTCCCCATAACGGAGGGGGGCTCCTCATTGTCAGGGTAGTGAGAGTTCCTCCCCTCTTTCTCTCCCTCCTCCTCCTCCCCTCTTCTTTCTCTTCCCCTGGGCAAGCCCAAGCAGACACAGCCCCATCAGGGGGCAGACACTGCACCCAGCACATTCCCTCAGCCTTCCTGCTTTGACAGGAGAAGGTATTTTCGTGCTATGAAAATGACTGTAAAATTGCCCTCTGCTGCAGAAGCGCTCAGTGGAAGCTGCTGGAAATGTGGGGAGAGAGGAGACTTGCAAATGATACCCCAGAGTGTGAAGGCTTGCTTATCAAGTCCATCTTTACTGTCTACAAAAAAAGCTACCTTTCTCCCGCCTATACCCATTCCTGGGCCAGAAAAGAAGGCATAATAAAAGCTTCAAATATGAAAAGGAGGGAGAATAATTCCAGCCAGTTTCAACACCCTTAGCTCATGGCCAATCTTGTTCATGATTTCCCCCTTGTAATTCCCTCGTGCCAATTATGCTGAAAAGCACATGTGCTATTTCATCTAGAAATATTCAAGTCATAGCTATGAGAGAGGAGGATTTAAAAAAAACCCACATATTTTACGGTTCCTTAAAAATGAACAGTTTGTAGTACTGCCAAGTACTCGGCCCATGTCCGTTTCCTTTGTCTCCTCGATGTTGTAAATTGTTTTCCAGCTCACTAAAAGCTTCATTTTAATGTGTCTTGTAAATCAAGTAGTTAATCATTCATTCACCCCTTCTTTCATTCATCCACAAATGGTATTTGGGAACCATCCATGTGCCGACACTGCTCTAGGCCCTGACAGGGCAGCAAGGAAGGGCAGCCCTGGCACCACCGCTGTGAGTGGACAGAGGATTGCAGAAGGGAGACACAGGGGCTAGGGCGGTGCATGGCCAGGGAAGGGTGCGGAACCTAGAGACCAGCAGCCCTGGCAAGGTAGGAGAGAGGCAAGAGGTGGGACAAACCAGCCTCTCTGTAGCCAATGAGAGACTCCAAAGTGGGTGGAGTCTGGGAGGGGTTTCAGTGCGGGGAGGGACTCCAGTGGCAGGGAGGGATTCTAGGGTGGGGTGGGGCATTCAGAGGAGGGGCAGCTCAGAG